TATAAACCTGTGAAGGATCCCTGTAGCCGTGTCATTGTTATAGTACTGCTGTTAAGAAGGCCACGGTACTGTAACATCATCAAAACAATAAATATGCAATGAAACCTTAAATTAGGGTTATTTTTATGATTGTACGAGGCTTATACCCAAAATTGTGCCAAGAATTTTTTTTTTTATGCACGGGAAGTAATTATATGGACCTGATTTTGAGTCAGGAAGGCTAATCTCTTATTCTATAAAAATCTTTTGGCGTTACTGACATAGTACGTACATACGTATATACTTGTCGTTTAACATATACAAAAATTTTTCAATCATTATATGTGTATGATCGATTGGTCAATCGATCCTTAATTCTTGCTATAAACAAGATTTATTGTTATAATTACTCTTTGCGATATACAAAATTATCGAAGGCTTAGAAAGTTTTCGACCGAAAGATTGATAGACGTAAACAAATGTAAATCTAAGAATGTTCATAGAGAAAAAAAAACATATAAGCTTGCGATAAGATTGTTTATCGTTACAATTATACTTTGCGATATACAAAATTATCAAAGGCTTAGAAAAATTTTTGATCGAAAATTTGATAGACGTAAGTTTGTAGATAAAAAGACATACATCAGCTTGCGTTAAAAGTCTTTATATTAGGCTTATTTGAAGTAAAAGGAAAGGAATGCATTGATTAACAATTGAGTAACTTATCATTAAATCAGAAAAGCCTTACCTTTTAATTAACGTATAAAAAAATATGCCTTTATATTTTCATAAATATAAATAAGTTTGACTTTGTTATTAGAAAATATACTTTAAGTTCTTTTGTTAGTATTTCACAATAAAAAATCAGATCTTTATAACTATAATTCTATAATTAACATAAATTCCGGAATTCAAAATGCCTTCTCATATTGCGCTTCTCGTCACTATTCTCTCTGCAAAAAATAGTCGCTTATGCTCATATGGTCAAGCCAAATATAATTTTGCTAGAGGAATGTCGCAAATCATTAAATGGAAACTTTTTTTTTCGCTAAATGAACAGCCTATAACATTTACAAGTGGCGATTTTGTTTTTTTTGCTGGCAAATTTGTCATTGAAAATTCTGAGCAATGCATTACTGTTATGTACGCAAGTGTCTTTAATATGGGAAATCCCAATCGTAAATTCGATACTACTGATATTCCTCCATGTATTCCACATTGCATGTTCTCTGTAGTTGTTACTTGTACACCTAAACAACTTCAGGAATTTATCCATTTTGGCATAGAGTGTACTGAGTATAATTCTGTTACTGGTACCTCTAATGTAAATATGCAAATGACAGTTCTTTACCATATGGAATCTGTAAGATTTCAAAAATATTTAGGTCATTTGGGTTCAAACATCAAATTAGGTAGTACGTATCTTATATCGGGCCTTTTTAAATTTTCAACTTCTGAAAAGATGATGGTCAAGGCAACAGACATTGATTACTTAAGAACTTCAAATATTATTCATAATACGTATGAAAATTTTTCTTCAAATCCCAGTACACAATCGATTATTGACATTATCGCTGACGATATTGAATCTACCACAACTCATGCTCTAAAAACTGTTGAACCTACAATTACTTCGGCTAATCATAATGTCATGGTTACTCCAGGTCCATCAAAAAATTTGGTGAACATTCTGATTCCCTATGTACAAATTGAATTACCCTATGAAAGAAATCAACAAAAAAAGCCATTAGATTATACTGACTTAGATGTCAGAAAGAAGAGCAATTGAGTTATAAAGATGATGAAAAAACTGAAGAATTAGACGAAGATGAAATCTCGCAGGATAAAAGTGAAGAAGAAAGTCAATCTAAAAAAAGGAAAAGAAATGTTAGAATAACTACGAAGGAAAAAAAAAAGAAAAGCGAAAAATAAATCAAAATTTGATTAGGTTTATTTTTTATATTTTTATATGTTTTAATTTTTTTTTTTAATATATGTAAAACAGTATAGTTAAAATCAGTTCGTTAATAAATTTTATAAAACAGTATAGTTTAAAATCAGTTCATTAATAAATTTTATAAAGACGCAAAAGACTAATATACTTGAAAATTTTTTTTTCACGTTAGTGTGGTTCAAAAGTTATTAAATTTCAACTAATTTCTACTCCAAGATTATAATAAAAAATAAATTACCTCATTGTTATTTAATTTATATCTGGCATTTGGTCTTAATCATATAATTGCGCTTGTGCTGAATATTTTACCTTTTCTGTCAAACACGTCAACGATACCTTAAATAGCTCATGAATTCTAATTTCAAAGTATTAAAGATCATTTACATATTTATTGTCTTATGATTTTCTTAGATTCAATATCTTTATTTATTAACAGATTAACGCTTTATTATTAATTTTTGGTCAAAACTGTGATCATCTGATAATATTAAACCGAAATTCATAACTGAATTAGTATTTTGAAATATAGCTGTACTGAAAGAAAACCATAGTGAATTAGTACAATATTAAATGAAAAAAATATTAAATAATGCTAATATTAAAAAATAAATATACTTAGCTCTAAAGACCATTACTATATGCATTGCTTACCAGCTTTCTCAGCTTGTTTCTTGAATAAGATTATATTGTTTTACTACTTTTAGTATAATATATTCTCCGATTATAGTACCCAGTTCTTCATACGGTACCCACAGGTACTATTCAGATGGTATAAATGTTAGTAACCCGTATTTACCACAATATTAGAAAAAGAAGCCCAATAAATTATATATTGATAAATAGTGTTAAAGACGATCATAACAATCGTAACTACTCGTATTAGAAAAATAACAATGCATACTTACAGTATTTCATAAACTCCTTATCTTAGTACACTTTAATCCTTACTAAGTCAACCGAACCCATCCCGTTTTAACCTTTACGACTATAAACAGTATCTTTGGCTTTGTTTGATTCCTGAATCCATTTTCCGCTTTTCACCATCTGTTATACTGCACATCTCTATGTAGTGATGATCAAAGACAATGATCAACAATAGGCTTGGATGATCTTCGATAAAAGAATCGATAAACGCAAACAAATGAAAATCTAAAAAACTTGCAAAAAAAAAAAAGCTTACAGTATATGAAATGGTCTTTATCGTTAGGCTTAGTTAAACAAAAAAGAAAGGAATGCGTTAACTAATAATCATAATGTTCTAAAAAGAAAAATGGGTTAAAAAATCTTGTTCTTTGATAATTATGATAGAAAAATAGAAAATCATCGTGGAAGTTAGAAAGATAAAGATTTGTTTTTGATCTGTAAAAAAAATCTTATAGTATGCTTATCATATCTTTGTAAATTATAAAAGAATGCTGTTTTGTCTTTATAAAGCATAATACTTGCCTTTTGATTCTAATATTGAACTTTAATAATAAAAAAACACTTCTCTTAAAACTGATTTATTTATCAAAAAAAAAAAGAGTCAAATTAAAAGAAAGCGTAAAGTGCTTCAAAAAAATCTAGCGCATTGTGAACCAAAATAAAAAATTAGAATAGCATAATCAGAACAAATATCAAATCTCTGTAACCATGACCAACATCATAACTAGGGGTGAAGCTAGAAAAATAAAAGACCATGAATGAAAAGCTGCCAAGCGTAAGGATTACCTATTTAGAAAATCTGAAATTGACAAACAAAAAAACCGGTTTGCTAACCTTTATTAGAATGAAGAACATGCTCAATCATATAAAATTAAACAAAAAGATCGTTGAAAACAACAAAAAATAATAGTAAACTCTTTGTTGAAAAATCTATTGACATCTTCATGCATTCTTGAGATGAATCAAGATTTCGAAAAAGCTCTTATTCAATATGCATCATGGCCTCAGCCAATTCATCTAGAAATAAAGAAAAACATGTTAGCCGAGTTTCACGATAAGACTGATTTTAGCAATCTACGAGAACTGCTCTGCGCAATTTGTTTTAGACTTTATAATTGTAAAAACTATAAAAGAATTTCTGTACAAGATGTTGACCTTTCTATACTTAAAACACTGACTGATTTTATTGATCTATCATTTGAAATCGATTTTAATTATCGACATCCTTACATTGCCTCTATTGAAACTAATATTCTTCTTGATCGTTCCGGTTTTATTTATAACGATCTTCTTAATTATAATAACCCTTTTGACCTGCGTATCTGTATTGAATGCTGTAATTGTTTACAAAAACATAAAATTCCACCATTATCGCTAGCTAATAATATGTGGATTGGACCTACGTCAACATGCCTTCGAGATTTAACAATCTCAGAGCAAATTATAATTTCTCCTGGTTATTTATGCATGAATCTTATTCAACTAACAAAGAGAAAACATACCCATCACAAGCTTAAAGGTCATATTGTAACATTACCTCAAAATCCATGCTCACTAGTTAAGGTATTACCATTACCGATATATAAACTTTGCGAGCATTTAAAAGTAGTATTTGTTAGAGAGGGGATGCCACTAATCACCAACTTAAAAAAGTACTTCAAGTAAGAAAAAGCAAAGTTACAGCCGCACTTCGATGTCTCTTTGCGCACAACAAATTATTCAAAGATAACATTATATTTGACGAGAATGCTTTAAATCTTTTACCTGAAGGTGAAATTCCCAAATCTTTAGCTTTAACTACTACTGTGATAAACATTGATTCTCAAGAAGTAAAACACTATACAGGTTATAATTAAGAGTCAGATAGTGAAAGTAATGAAGAAGAAGCTTTCAATGATAGTGATCACATCTCAGATAGTTTTGTAAAAAACAATACAATTGGCAGTGCAAATAAACTCAGACCTTCCGGGATTATACATGTCGATGATGTACCAATTACTAAAAGAGAGCTTACCTTGCTTTCTTTTCAAAATCTTATAAACGCTTCAGATAACCAGCCTAACAATCGTGAATATAGCATTGAAATCGAAGCTACTTCTACACGATCTCATATGTTACATGTGCCTCATAGTCATAACCCTTTTAATAAGTATAAAGATATAACTCTCTTTCTTGCGGAAGTTCCAGTTCTCTTTCCATATAGTATTGGAGGTTATGAAGGTCGATCGTTTTATGTATCTTTAAAAAAATATGCTAACCACCTTATGCAGCATCGTGATCCAAAATTTAAACAGCATAGATTATTCCCTTTTGTTATTTTTGACGTCTTACAATGACGAGAAGTATCGGCTGAAATGTATAATTTAACTAGAAAGAAAAATTTTGAACATTTCGCGAATTTAATCTCAAGATTTAATCTTGATGATATAAAATTAGCTGTTGAACAAGAACACAACAAGCTTCCGATTACAAATCCTGCAATTAATGAGCTACTGAAAAATATTAATATAGCTGGCTCTAATTTAATGGCCTCTCATCAATCATGCGCCTATATGTGTAATAAAATACGAGCTGTTATTCTTCATGATGGATCTCCTTCCTTATTTATTACTATAAATCCTGCAGACCTTCACAGTCCTATTGTTATGATGTATGCTGGGAATGAAATCGATTTCAAAAATATATCACCTCAGAATTTTCCAAAAGCTACAGAAAGAGCTTGGCTCGCGCATCTTAATCCTTCAGCTGTTGCTAAATATTTTAATATTATAGTTAGATGCATTTTAGATACAATCGTTGGGTATGATAAAAAACAAGGTGGGGTTTTTGGTAATATAAAGTATTATTATGGTGTAGTCAAATATCAAGATCGTGGTACTCCTTATTGTCATTTACTCGTATAGATTTACGGCTCTCTTAATCTAATTGAGTTACGTCGAAAGCTTAAAGACGATAATTTTTCACAACAGTTACTTGCATATATAAATAATATTGTTAAAGAAGATATCAGTTATTTTCTTAAAAAAGATGAGATTTTGACAGAAGAAATGCTTGAATTATATTATAAAACTCCAAAAACGATAGAAGAAAAGCGAATGCATCCTTCATTCTTCTCTATTTCAGATCCCGATTCCCCTGATTTTGAAGAAAGTTTTTGCTTAAATTTGCTCATGATTGCCAAATGCACCTTATATCATCATTGTACTCAGTCATGTAAAAAATATAACAGAGGTTTACAAAAGCATTGTAGGTTTAACTTTCCAAGGGAGCTTGTTAAACCTCCTAGCATGATCTTTTCTGATCAAGGTATTATTGCTATTCAACATGCTAATGCCTTCATCAATAATCGTATAGAAGAAATAATGACATAAAATTCATTGCGTCCTGGAAGCTTTCCTTAGTCTACATTTATTACCTAACCGACTATATCACAAAATCAGATATAAGCGTACATAGTTCTTTCTTGATTTACACTTCAACTTTAGAATCCTTTTTAGTGCAACCATCCAATCAAGCTTCGTTCGATCTTATAAATAGATCCCGTAAACTTATAACAAAATGCCTTAACAAAATGTCAGGCCAAACTGAGCTTACAAGTCCGCAAGTTTCAGCATATTTACTAGGCATTTGTAATCATTATACACTAAATAAGTTTGCTACAATACACCTTAGAACTTTCGAAAATTACCTTACAAATGAGTGGTCAAGATATGTTCAAAATATTACTGGAAATGTTGATGAGTCTAGTAGTGACTCAACTGTTGATAGTGATCAAGATATAACAGATGAATCATTCTTTATATCATCATTTAACGGAAAATTAACTACTGCAAACTTTCGTATTGATTATCAATTCAGAGAATCATCTCTATGTAATATATGTTTATACGACTATGCAGCTATTATTCAAAAAGTTCCAATTAATTCACATGAACTCTCAATATTAATGGGTCAATGTTCAAGAGAAGGAAATGATCACTATTTTTTCTGGTGAGATGACCCTACAAACAACTATAATGAATCTGAAGATGTTCATCCTCAAAATAAATCACAT